GGGGAATACGAGAGGGGACAAGGAAGAGCGCGCCAGCCAAGGCAGCCAAGAGAGGGAGACTAAAGAGAGCTCTAGAAGAGCTCCTGGCAGAGGTGACTGGGTTATATAGGAGTGAGAAGCTGGGGGAAGGGATGCTCGCGAGCTGGAGAAGCTTAGAGTAGAGGATCAGGTGAGAAGAGCCGCAGGTAGCTGTGGCACTGAGAAAGTCAGCAGGCCAGCATGGGCTTGAGGATGCTAAAGGCATCCCAGTTAGCCATTTTCCTTTGGACCTGACAGTCTGAGAGTGGACCCACCACCGAGTCACTGAGCCCTGATGTGTTCATTTTTTAGGTGCCGTTTTTGCAGATGCACGTAATTTATGCGGCTCTTTCTTCCCCCTTTCAGGAATCACATACTTTACCCAATGGGATGGTGGTGCCTACTGTTCTGTCCCACAGAGATTGGTAGAGAGTGTTAGCGGTGCCAGCTGCTGGCTTCCTAGATCAGTTCCAGTTTTCTGCTGCCTTTTACTGATTTTCAGAATGAGCTGGAGGAAGCAAGGAGGGAGGTAGAAGGGGCCTGACCCAGGGTTGAGAAGAATCTGTGTTCTAGTTCACCATGTACCACTAGGTCATTGCTTGATTGTTCATTTTCTGCCTTTGGTTTTCTTAGCATTGTGTTAAGGGATGGACCTTGTTTGGTTGTTCTACTGTTCCAGGGTTATCTACAAATACAATGCCAGCTGCCCTTCTCCAGTGTCCTTTTATGTCTGTTATCTGGAGAAATGCTGTGCTGGCCTGGGAGAGCCAGAAAGGGAAAATCTAATCAGGAAACAGGCAGAGCTGTCTGCTTGCACCTGTGTCTAACTTTTCTATTAACCCTAGGAAGCATTTTCTGCCTGTTACGTAAGTGTGCAAACTCAATTGTGTAGAAATCAAGTGCCCTAGATCACTCACTAGTGGTGTGTCACAGCAGAGACTAAATGCTGAATGGTTTGATCTGATCTCCCCACCTCCATTACTGTGCCCTGCTAAGGCATTGTAGCCCATCACACCTGTATGTGAAGAGCCTGTTGGCTTCAGGGGGCCTTGGTTCAGGGGACTTTGGTTAGTGCTGACCTCATGGTGATGTCAGGAGCCGTAAGTCAGATAGCTTACAGAAATTTGTTTGTGGCCATGTGACTATCACTACTGGAAGCTATTTATTTTATTCTATTCTATCCTTTCTTTCATTCTCGCTTCCTTTTTTTTTTTTTCCTTTCTTCAAGACAGGGTTTCTCTGTGTAATTTCTATCCTGGAACTCCCTCTGGAAACCAGACTGGCTTCAAAGTCACAGAGATCCACTTGAATTAAAGGTGTCCACCACAGCCCAGAAGCTGTTTCTTTTCATTTTTGCCTCTTCAAATATGATTATATTCATCATACTGGTGATTTTTTTTTGTCTGTTACAGTGCATGCTACAGTTACTTAGTTTAAAAAGCAGCTTAAGTATTTGAAAGTATAGATTACTACATAAGTAACATAAGTGGGGCTTACTCCTTATATAAGATTTAATTACGTTTTAAATCATGTGTCTGCATGTATGTGTGCTTTTGGGGGATATGTGTATGAGGCTGATGCCCACAGGGGCCAGAGTCATTTGATCCCCCGAAACTGGAGTTATCGACAGTTGTGAACCAACCACCCAACATGGGTGCTGGGGACAGAGCCTGGTCCCTATGCCAGAGCAGTAACCCTCTTAACCTATTCACCAGCTTCCAGCCCCGAGGCTCACACTTTTACACCTGTATGTAGTGTGGAAATAACTGTTCTTCTCCACCCCGCAATTGCGTGTGTGTGTGTGTGTGTGTGTGTGTGTGTACATTGTCCCCTGTGTGTAGAGACCCAAAGTTAATATTGTCTTCTACCTTTCTTTTCTTTTTTTTTTTTTTTTTAAACTAAGATAGGGTCTCTCTCAGAGCCTGAAGCTCGCTAACATGGCCACTTGATCTAACTAACTCGCTTGTTCTAGGGATCACCTATCTCCCGAGTGCTGGGAGGACAGGTGAATGCCGTGCCCACCCAGCTTTCTTTTGGGTTCTGGAGATCTAAACTCTGGTCCTCAAACTTCCACAATAGTATTTCTCTCTGGTCCAAGGTAACTTTCTTCAGTAATGACATGTTACTTTTAATGAGCCCTTTACATGCCCCGTGGATTACTTCTTTCTAAGCTGTTTAAAAAACCTCTGGCTCTCTGATGTAGTTGGGTTGTACTTTATGCACTGCCCAAGTGTTGAATGGAAAGCACCACACAACCAGGGAGCTTCCCTCCTGGATCTCAGTTCTGTTTTTCTGGTTCTTAGTGGAGTGATGATTTGTTATGTGACTCGCTGAACGCTTCTATTTTCATAATCGTTTTAGTGTAAGGTATTCTGAAGAGCAAACACTTTTGTGGAAATTTAGAAATGCTATAGAAAACAGAGACTAACTCTGTTTTTTCTCCTTAGAAGAAGTTTCTGCCTTGCCCCTGTTTTGAAATGTTTACCACTTAGAGTATTTAACAGTTCTGCTTCTCCAGCAATAAAAAAAAACCCTATCACTTTGAGTAAAAGCTCAGTGATTCCTCTTGAATATACTAGTTTCTATGCGACAAATTTACTTACGCTATTTTTACTTAAGGTGCTTAGTGTGACTTGGGGTGGCACAAAGGGGTATGCCATTTTTAGTCTATGAACTTGGCTTTCCTAACAAGTCAGCAAAACTGATGGGAACCAAGGGGCTATTTCTGTCCCTTGGAGAGCTCCGTGACTTCTGACTTTTCTAGTTCAGCTAATTGGGATGCCCTGTCCTGGCACTTCAATCTGCAGGGTTTATTGTGGGCAGAGACTCCCCTGGTTAAGGGCCATTGGACTTTTGTGCCCCCGGGCTTTAGCTGCAGATCGGCTCTTGTTCTTCTGTTGCTGACCTGGGTCTGGTAGTGTCAGCTTGGTTTAGATTTTTCTTGATGTTTTCCAGTTCTAGAACTTTACCTGTAGTAACTGTGGGAAGGAAAGTACCGATCCGGGATTCAGTCCTCGGCACTGTGTAACCCATGTGTGGTGAAACACCCTGGACTTTGGAACCCAGGAGGTCGAGGGGGTTGTAGGAGTTCAGAGTCATCTTCCACTACACAGTGATATTTGAAGTTAGCCTGGGGATCTTGACATCCTGTCTCCAAAAGAAGCAAAGAAACAAGAACAGCAGCCATTTAAAAAGATAGCAAGTCATGAGTTAAGAAAGCTAGCCATGATGTCATGTTTATAAATCTAGCACTCTGGAAGCCAGGAGGATTGGTGCAAGTTCAAGACTAATATGGGTTACATAGTGAGTTATAGGCCACTCTGGGTTACAGATTGAGTCTTAGTCTGACTTTCTACTCCCATCCCATTCTAGATTAGAAAACATTCTAGATTATGTTCTTGCTCTGGTGATATGGAGTGT